GTGAATCTTTATTCCCATACCCCTAATTCATCCTTCTCCTGCTCCTTTTCCGCTTTACTAGCCACAGGTTTGTTTTCTGTGAGTCTGTTTCTGCTTTGTATATAGATTCACTTGTATTGTTTTTTATATCACATATGATATATTTGTCTTTCTCTGTGTGTTCACTTAATATGATATTCTCTAGGTCCATCCATGTTATTGCAAGTGACAATATTTCATTCTTTTGTGGCTGAGTAATATTCCATTGTGTGTATGTACATGTCTGTACATACACCACTTCTTTGACCTTCCATCCGTTGATGGGAATTGGATTGTTTCCTTGTCTTGTGTGCTTAGCTGCTCAGTCGTGTCTGACTCTTTGCAACCCCACGGACTGCAGCCTGCCAGGCTCCTCTGTCCATGGGGATTCTCCAGGCAAGAATATTGGAGTGGGTAGCCTTTCCCTTCTCCAGGGGATCTTCCCAGCCTAGGGATCGAACCCAGGTCTCCCGCATTGCAGGCGGATTCTTTACCAACTGAGCCCTATTTTGGACATTATAAATAGTGCTACTATAAACACTGAGGTGCATGTATCTTTTCCAATGAGTTTTTCTCTTTTCTGTATGTATGCTTAAGAGTGGGATTGCTGAAACACTCTCCGACATAAATCACAGCAGGATCCTCTATGACCCACCTCCCAGAATTTTAGAAACAAAAGCAAAAATAAACCTCTATGACCCACCTCCCAGAATTTTAGAAACAAAAGCAAAAATAAACAAATGGGACCTAATGAAACTTAAAAGCTTTTGCACAACAAAGGAAACTATAAGCAAGGTGAAAAGACAGCCCTCAGATTGGGAGAAAATAATAGCAAACGAAGCAACAGACAAAGGATTAATCTCAAAAATATACAAGCAACTCCTCCAGCTCAACTCCAGAAAAATAAATGACCCAATCAAAAAATGGGCCAAAGAACTCAACAGACATTTCTCCAAGGAAGACATACAGATGGCTAACAAACACATGAAAAGATGCTCAACATCACTCATTATCAGAGAAATGCAAATCAAAACCACAATGAGGTACCATTATACGCCAGTCAGGATGGCTGCTATCCAAAAGTCTACAAGCAATAAATGCTGGAGAGGGTGTGGAGAAAAGGGAACCCTCTTACACTGTTGGTGGGAATGCAAATTAGTACAGCCACTATGGAAAACAGTGTGGAGATTTCTTAAAAAGCTGGAAATAGAACTGCCATATGACCCAGCAATCCCACTTCTGGGCATACACACCAAGGAAACCAGATCTGAAAGAGACACGTGCACCCCAATGTTCATCGCAGCACTGTTTATAATAGCCAGGACATGGAAGCAACCCAGATGCCCATCAGCAGACGAATGGATGAGGAAGCTGTGGTACATATACACCATGGAATATTACTCAGCCATTAAAAAGAATTCATTTGAATCAGTTCTAATGAGATGGATGAAACTGGAGCCCATTATACAGAGCGAAGTAAGCCAGAAAGATAAAGACCATTACAGTATACTAACACATATATATGGAATTTAGAAAGATGGTAACGATAACCCTATATGCAAAACAGAAAAAGAGACTCAGATGTATAGAACAGACTTGTGGACTCTGGGAGAAGGCGAGGGTGGGATGTTTCAAGAGAACAGCATCGAAACATGTATATTATCTAGGGTGAAACAGATCACCAGCCCAGGTTGGGTGCATGAGACAAGTGCTCGGGCCTGGTGCACTGGGAAGACCCAGAGGGATCGGGTGGAGAGGGAGGTGGGAGGGGGGACCGGGATGGGGAATACATGTAAATCCATGGCTAATTCATTTCAATGTATGACAAAAACCACTGCAATGATGTAAAGTAATTAGCCTCCAACTAATAAGAATAAATGGAAAAAAAAAAAAGAGTGGGATTGCTGGATCATATGGTAGTTCTATTCTTGTTTTTTAAGGAACTTCCATACTGTTCTCCACAGTGGCTGAAGCACTTTACATTTCCACCAAAAGTATAAGAGGGTTACACTCTCTTCAGGATTTATTATTTGTAGATATTTTGATGATGGCCATTCTGACAGGTGTGAAGTGATCTCATTGTGGTTTTGATTTGTGTTTCTCTAATAAACAGAGATGTCGAGCATCTTTTCTTGTGCCTGTTGACCACTTGTATGTCTTCTTTGGAGAAATGCCTACTTAGGTCAGGAGGACTAATTTAGGAACCAGTATATTGATAAAGCTAAATTGTAATTTTTATATTTCTTGTCTTCATTGGGCAAGGAAAATTTTCTTTTAAGTATGAAAGTGAGTGAAAAATATAAGGAGTAAATTGGGAGCAATATTTTCTGAAAATTGCTTTTGTTTCTTTTCCTTCAAAACTCCTAATTTTGTTAGCTTAGGTTTTCCAGGATATGCATCTGTGGGGTAAGAGATTGTAATATTACTGAAATATAGCAAGGAGAATTTCAGCTTCTAAAATTTAAAATAGCAATATGAGCCAGGCTCATAGAAACTTTTCAGAGTCCCTTATTACTCTGCAGTACTGTATCCAAAACTTTCCTCTATTAAAGGACCAAAATCCCTCAATATTGCACTTATTTATCACATGAAAGTTTACTCCCTGCTCGTAAAGATCTACTCTGGTCCTGCTGCTTTCTAGGGCTGCTGCCTTCCAAGTAATCCCAGTCTGCATCCATCCTGTGGTTCCACCATCTCAAAACAAGACTTAATCTTGTCAGCCAAGCATCTTACTACCATCTCCCACTGTGCCTGGGTCTATGAGTTCAGTCTCTCAGCTTCAATTTTCCACAGAACATGCTATGGCAAAGTTGCCTAGCTGCATGGTGATAGGAGTGAAACTTGGGCTTTTGTGCATGAGTGCTCAGTCACTTCTGTCACGTCCAACTCTTTGCAACCCCATGGACTGTAGCCCACCAGTCTTCTCTGTCCATGGGATTCTCCAGGCAAGAATACTAGTGTGGGTCGCCATGCCCTCCTCTGGGAATCGAACCTGCATCTCCCGCATTGCAGTCTTATTCTTTACCACTGGGCCACTGAGGAAGCCCTATGGGCTTTTGCTACTTCTCAATCAGAACTTCAAATAAACCTTATTTTTTCATGACTCCAGCCTTTAGTTTTACATGATGCTTCAAATTCCAAAGTCTTACTGAAATTCTCTGGGGCACACCGGGAGGGAAGAGAGATGTGGTTTGTATCTCTGAAATGTTTCCTTCAGCATCCAAACTATCATTTTCAATTTCCAGGAATGATTCTGAGTTTGACCACTTCTGTACATTTTCATAATTAGGGCTTAACTCAGTAACCATCAAGTCTCACCTGTACTATTTAGGTATTCTAACTACATTCTGGGCTTCCCAGGTGTCTCAGTGGTAAAGCATCCACTTGCCAATGCAGGAGACACAGGACACTTGGGAAATGGCAACCTGCTCCAGTATTCTTGCTTGGAAAATCCCGTGGACAGAAAAGCCTGGCAGGCTCCAACCCACGGGGTCACAAAGAGTCAGACATGACTGAGCATTCATACACCCACAACTACATTTTCCTGCCCCTACATGGTCCACAGAACAATGAAGGTGATTATTTAAATGTGTAAATGATATCATGTCAAGTGCTGTTTTAAACTTCCAGTGATTTCTCATTTCAAGTAGAACAAACTCAAATACTTAACATGAGCTACAAGGTCCTACATACCCCAGATCCTGCCTCCCCCTCTCTATGCCCCAGACACAAAGGAGTGTGCAAAAACTTTCTATCCTGCAAAAACACCACCAAGCTCTATGGTAGGTCTGTTACACTGCTGTTTCTTCCAAGTGGAAATCAGCTCTGGATCTCCCTTCTTGTCATTTGAGACTGGGAAATGTCTCCTGCTCTAGGAAGTATCAGAGAAGGCAATGGCAACTCACTCCAGTACTCTTGTCTGGAAAATCCCATGGATAGAGGAGCCTGGTAGGCTGCAGTCCATGGGGTCGCAAAGAGTCAGACACGACTGAGCTACTTCACTTTCACTTTTCACTTTTATGCATTGGAGAAGGAAATGGCAACCCACTCCAGTGTTCTTGCCTTGAGAATCCCAGGGACGGGGGAGCCTGGTGGGCTGCTATCTATGGGGTCTCACAGAGTGGGACACAACTGAAGTGACTTGGCAACAACAGCAGCTAGGAAGTATTTCTATACCACTCGAACTAGACTTTCATTGCTTCACAGAATGTATGCCCACTTGAAATTGTCTTGTTCATTTATGCATGGATTCACTTACTGGGATGTATCCATGACTTAACCATGTGAAGCAGACACACAGCATTGAAAAGGCAGTGGAGAGTTAGAAGATTTTCAGATGGCATTTTTTTTTTATCCTATGTTGGATCATCTCTCCTAGCAACTTGGGTCAGACAAGTACCAGGTGATCTCCACCAAGTCCTCATCCTTAAGATATGGCTGCAAACCAAATCCCCCAACCCATCCAGTCAGCCTGAACCCAACAATCAAGCCCCAACTCATTTATCAACACCACACGACACAACAAGCTCATAAAAATAACTTTTGCTTGAAATATTTTGATAGAATTATTCAGAAAAGTGCCTAAACACATCTCAAATGATTAAATCAAGTCAGATGTTAACATCCTAGTTGCCTTTAATATAGTTGTGAACAAATACTGGCAGCGAACACTTTTCCCATACATCAAAGACTCAAAAACCCAGTACACTTCCACGGGCAACACAGGAGGGACTCTGCGGCAAGATTAATGACCTGCTAACACCCAAAGCTCTGAAATATAAGCGATGACCAGTCTTGAGGATCGCCCACACCCAAGAGCAGTGGGGTACAAAGGCTTCCCCTAAGAGCAGTCATACTCGGAGGCCTCAGCAAGACGTTGGAGCCCACGGGCTGGGTTGTTCCACCCAGGGTCGCTCTGCAGGGAGAGGCTGCGTCTCAGATCTGAGTCTTTGGAGAGGCTCCTCTTCGCCCGGGTCGGACAGTCAGCCCCGGAGTACCCTTTTCCCTTTTCCCTTTTCCCGAGGACGACGTCGAGAAACACATCTGCCAGTTGGGTGGTGAGCTGGGGCGGATGGACCTGGCGTCAGCGGCGGGGTCTGGCGCGGCTCGAGGGAGTTGCAGGCGAGCCGGGTTCCCCAGGGCGAGTGCACCCTGTTCCAGGCGCTCAGCTCCCGGCCGCCCGGCGCCGCGGGCTCGGCGTGGTCCACCACCGCCCGGTCCTGCCCGCGCTTCCACAGCTCATAGCGCTCGGGCTGCAGGATGCGCACGAAGGCGTCCATGGAGAAGGCCACCTGCGCCTCGCCGCAGCTGCACTGCGAGGCCACTTTGCCATAATCGACCCAGCGCGGGGTGGCGAAATTGATGGCCTCGGCGCAGTTGAAGCCGTGGTTGAAGCCAGAGTGGTAGCCGTAGGGGAAGGTGACCATGAACTCGCCCGCCTCCTGCGTGACCCGACCGAAGGGGATGCCGTTGTTCCGGAGCACCGTGGGCGAGATGAGCGCCGCCTTGTGCCGCAGGAAGGCCTCGCAGTCCCGCGAGCTGCCCGGGAAGAGCTCGCGGGCCAGGCGTTCCAGGCGCCAGCCGTGCTCGGGCGGCACCGCGTACCAGGTCTTGGGCTCCCCGAAGTGCAGGAAGTTGATGCTGTAAAGGTCCATGTCCTCCGTGTGCCAGGCGAAGGCGGTCTTCCACATGCCGAAGTACAGGTAGGGAGTGTTGACGCCCTCGATGACCACCCCGCACTCCTGCTCCAGCAGGTCCTGGATGGTTCCCAGGTGCCCCAGGTTCCACTGCTTCGTGTTTTCATCAAACAAAGAGCCACTGATGTCCGCGCCGTATATCGGGGACTCGTACACGCGGGTTTTCCAGTATTTTCGCTCCAATTCCTCAAAATCGGAGTAGAATGGAGTCTGGTATTTTTCAGTATTTGCTAAGCGGCGGTACTCTGCCACTGTCATAGCTTTCTTCTTTTTGTGGTATTGAGTAAACACACCTGCCCTCCCAGAGACCACCTGCTGCAGCGGAGCGGCTATTAAGATGTCATCGATATCGTCGTAGGTCTGTCTGGCTTTCCATTCCTTGGGTGGAACTATCTTAGCCAAGCCTGCTCGGTGGGCCCCTTGCGATTCTATGTAAGCAATGTATTTGTTGAAGTCCGCAAATTCTTCCATGGTTGGGTAGAAGGTCATGATCTTACAACTTGGGTTCTGGGAACCAAAGTGCTTAGACTGCATGGCTGCAATATAATCAGCAGTGGCCTCTCCGGCTCTTAGGTATGCTGTGGGCACCTGAGAGCTTAGGGAGTAACCTCTTCCCTAGACTTTGTTTTTAGAAATTTTTGCTGTGTCTGAGGGGCAGTGACTCAGACTAGAACCTTTAAACCAGTGAGGTGGTATCTTTTCCAGCTTGTTAATCCACCGGAACGACAACCCACCCTCGTCTGTATTCTGTAGCCCAAGGAAAGAGGGTGTTTCCCAGAGGGGAAGGTTCCCTGAACCAAGTCCTGCTTCGGCCTGCAGCTCTGTGACTTTCTTTGGTTGAGGGTGTAAGTGCCTCGGAGGCCGTCCCAGATTCACAGGCTTGAGTGCCTGGCAGTTTCTCAGCTCACTGTGACAAAAAGTGTCTTCATGGAAGTTTCAAAGCCAAACCTAAAGAAAATACAGAATATCTGAAGATGAGTAGATGATAAAAGGAACTGATTTAACACAAAATTTTACAGCAATCTTAATTTCAAAATTTGAATTTAAGGGCAAAAATATACTTTTTAAACAGGAATGTAAATTGGTGCAGCTACGGTACATACTGTGGAAAACTGTATAGAGGTTCTTTAAAAATTTTAAATAAAACTATTATATAATCCAACAATCTCATTTCTGGGTATATATCCAAATGAAATAAAAACAGAATATCAAAATAACATCTGCCCTCCTAGGTTCCTTGAGGCATTACTCACAATAGCCAAGATATGCAAACAACCATAGTGTCCATCCATGGTTGAATGAATACAGAAGATGTGACATAGATATCTGGTGGAATACTACTCAGTGATAAACAAGAATGAAATTTTGCCATTCACAACAGCATTGGTTGACATGGAGGGTATTATTCCAAGCGAAATAAGGCAGAGGAAGAAAGTACAGATACCAATGTGCATGTTCCTAACAAGTATTATCCTTAATGAGCAAACATCTGAAACATTCCAACTAAAGTCTAATTATTAAATTGCATTCACAAACAGATTATTAGAAATATATGGATCAACCAAGTTTCTGAACACTGATTAGCATACAAAATCTATAGATCCCATGTACAAATTAACATCAATTATGAAGTGAAATAGTAAAAAAGTTTCAATTCCTTTAGTAACAAATACATGCCTCCAAAGAAGAAGTCAAAATCATATGCATTTAATACTTGTACTTTAAATGCATAAATGAGAATTTTACCAGGGGAAAAATGTTGCTTTCTAATATAAAATGTCTTTTTCATCTTTGTATTTTAAAGGACAAACATAAAAAAAAAAAAAAAGTGCTTGCCTCCTGCTAATCTAAAACCTTAATTCCAAATGAGGAAACACTACAACCCAGAAAATTGTTTCCGTGAATAATTCAGCCTCTAAATAAAAAAGGTTGTGCTCAAAGTCTGGCTCTATCTGTCCCACCTCAGTTTCAGCTCAATCAGCACCACCCTAATTCTAATATCCTCATATCCAATCAAAGTCTTTAATTTGATCCCACACATTTTTCAAGTTCCTTCTAATTGACTCACTCCTTACCCAATTCTAGAAACCATCTTATTTCCATTGGATCCCAGTTAACTAAATGAGGCACTTTATCCTGAAAATCTTTGTGATTTTTATTAAAAAAAATTAAGAAAAAGATTAGCTCCATTTGTCAGAAAATAGTTTAACAATAAAAACACAAGGAAATAATATCCCAAAGTATCTCTCTCTCTATATATATATGTATACAGTACAGTATATATATATATATATATATATAGTAACTTTTAAAAACTTATAATAGAAAAACACCTCTTTTGCTTACAAGCACAAGTAGAAATAAAATTACATACCTCCAATCAACAAAATCCTGACTCCAATTGGAGCTATTCAAGGATCCAGAGAGACAGTGTTCTCTCAGCAGCTGGTCTCCAAATGCAGACCAATGTCCTGATGGCTCTGGCTTTATACCTGGGCAAAGGTATAATTTGATCAGGACCAATCAACAGTAATCATGGGATGAGGGCTCTGATTGGTCAGCCCAGGTAGTCTGTGCCCTTTTGATTTTTAAACCAATCAACAGAGAACTGAGAGGTTGAAAATTATAGGAATGGCACTTCCCTGGTGGCTCATGTGGTTAAGAATCTGCCTGCAATTTGGGAGACCGGGGCTCGATCCCTGAGTTGGGAAGATCCCCTGGAGAAGGAAATGGCAGCCCACTCCAGTATTCTTGCCTGGGAAATCCCATGGACAGAGGAGCCTGGCGGGCTACAGTCCATGGGGTCACAAAGAGCTGGACATGACTGAGTGAACACACAACTTTAAAGCAGCTCTAGGTTACTCACCATACCATCATGGTTATCCAGGCCTTTAAGACCTTTCTTGTATGTTCTTCTGTATATTCTTTCCACTTCTTAATCTCTTCTGCTTCTCTTAGGTCCTTACCGCTTCTGTCCTTTATTGTGCCCATCCTTGTGTTAATAAATGTTCCCTCTCTATCTCTAATTTTCTTAAAGAGATCTCTAGTTTTTCTGATTCTATTGTTTTCCTCTATTTCTTTGCATTGTGTATTTAGGAAGACCTTCCTATCTCTCTGTCCACGCTGTTCTCTGGAACTCTGCATTCAGTTGGGTATATCTTTCCCTTTCTCCCTTGCTTTTCACTTCTGTTTCCTTAGCTATATGTAAAGCCTCCTCAGACAACCACTATGTCTTCTTGCATTTCTTTCTTTGGGATGGTTTTGGTCACTGCCTCTTGTACAATGTTATGAACCTCCATCCATAGTTCCTCATGCACTCTACCAGATCTAATCCCTCGAAACTATTTGTCACTGCCACTGTAGAATCATAAGGAAAATAATTTAGGTCATATTTAGGTGTATGGCCTAGTGGTTTTCCCTACTTCAATTTAACCCTGAATTTTGCAATAAGGAGCTCATGATATGAGCTACAGTCAGATCCAGGTCTTGTTTTTACTGGTGATATAAGGCTTCTTCATCTTTGGCTGCAAAGAATATTATCAATCTCATTTTGTTATTGACCGTCTGATGATGTCCATGTGTAGAGTCATCTCTTGGATTGTTAGAAAAGGATGTTTGCTATGACCAGCATGTGCTCTTGACAAAACTCTGTTAGCCAATGCCCTGCTTCATTTTGTACTCAAAGGCCAAACTTGCCTATTATTCCAGCTATCTCTTAACTTCCCACTTTTGCATTCCAATCTCCTATGATAAAAAAGACATCTATTTTTGGTGTCAGTTCTAGAAGGCCTTGTAGGTCTTCATAAATCTGGTCAACTTAAGCTTCTTTAGCATTAGTGGTTGGGACATAGACTTGGATTACCATGATATTGAATGGTTTGCCTTGGAAACGAACAGAGATCATTCTATTGTTTCTGAGATTGCACCCAAGTACTGCATTTTGGACTCTTCTGTTGACTATGAGGACTACTCCGTTTTTTCCTAAGGGATTCTTGCCCACAGTGGTAGATATAATGGTCATCTGAATTAACTTAGCCTATTCCCATCCATTTTATGTTAGATCATATGGTAGCTCTATACTTTCAGTTTTTTAAAAATACCTCCATACTGTTCTCCATAGTAGCTGCACCAATTTACGTCCCCCTCAAGGTGGAAGAGGGTTCCCTTTCATCCATACCCTCTGCCGCATTTATTTCTATGCTTTTTGAGATGTCCATTCTGACAGGTATGAGGTGATGTCACTGTGGTTTTGATTTGCATTTCTCTAGTAATTAGCAGTGTTGAGAATCTTCATGTGCCTGTTGGCCATTTGTATATCTTCTTTGGAGAAATGCCTACTGAGGGCAAGAAGACTAATTTAGAAACCAGTTTATTGTTACAGCTAATTTGTATACTTAACACTGCTTGTCCTGATTAGGTTAGGGAAAAAAAAATTTTTTTTAAGAAAGTGTAACGCTTTAAAAAAAAAATTGATTGATTGATTTTTGTCTGTGCTGGGTCATTGCTGCACAAGCTTTCCTGTAGTTGCGGCAAATGGGGGCTACTCTCCAGGTGTGGTGCCCGGGTTTCTCACTAGGATGACTTCTCTTGTTGCTAAGCACAGGCTCTAGGGCTCACAGGCTTCAGCAGTTGCGGTTCCCCGGCTCTAGAGCACAGACTCAATAGTTGTGGTGCCCAGGTTCGGTTGCTCCAAGGCATATGGGATCTTCCCAGATCAGAAATTGAACCAGAGTCTCCTGCATTATCAAGCGGACTCTACCACTGAGCCATCAGAGAAACCTGGGAAATATACATTTTTTTTAAGTGTGAAAGTAACTTGAGTGAAAACATAAGGAGTACAATGGGAGCAATATTTTCTGGAAACTGCTTTTGTTTCTTTTTCTTCCAATCCCCCAATTTTGTTATCCCAGGCTCTCCAGGACATCTATATGCCAAGGAGGAGACTGTGATATTCCTGAAATATAACAAGGAGAACTTCTGTTTCTAAAATTGTAAATAGAAATATGAGCCAGGCTACTGTCTTCATAGAGACTTTTCAGAGTTCTTTTATTTCTCTGCACTACCATACCCACAACTGACCTATATTAAAGGGCCAAAAACCCCCAACATCTCAGTCACTAAAAGTTACCCCTGCTCATATAAGATCTACTATTATGGTCCAAGTGCTCTCTAGGGCTGCTACCTGTCCAGTAATTCCAGTCAGCTTCCATCCTGTGGTTCCACCATCTCAATACAGGACTTAATCATCTTTTCAGCCAAGCATTTCACTGCCGTCCTCCACTGTGCCTGGAATCCCTAAGTTCAGTTTCTCAATTTCAATTTTCCACAGTATACACTACCACAAATGTGCCTTGCTGCATGGTGACAGGAGTGAGACGTGAGCTTTTGCTATGTCTCAATCAGAACTTCAGAGAAGCCTTACTTGTTCATGACTATTCCCTTTCATTTTATATGGTGCTTCAGATTCGAAAGTCTTCTGGAAATTCTGTGGGGGCAGAGCTGGAGGGAAGAGAGATGTGTTTTGATTCTCTAAAATGTTTCCTTCTGCATCCAGTTTTCAAAATCTATTCTGTTTGGCCACTTCTGTGCATTTTCAGCACTACGGCCTGAGTCAATCACCATCACCTGTCTCCTGTTTTGGGACTTCCCTGGTGGCTCAGGCAATAAAGAATCCACCTGCGATGCAGGAGACACGGGTTTGATCCCTGGGTCAGGAAGTTCCCCTGGAGAAGGGAATGGCAGCCCACTCCAGTATTCTTGCCTGGAGAACTCCATAGACAGAGGAACCTGGTGGGCTCCAGTCCATGCAGTTGCAAAGTCAGACACAACGGAACGTGGTCCACAGAACAATGGAGGTGGTTATTTAAATATGCAAATTGTATCGTGTCAAGTGCTGTTTTAAACTTCCAAAGCATTCTCATTTCAAGTTGAATAAACTCAAATACTCATCATGAGCTACAAGGTCCTATATACCTTGCACCCCGTCTCTCCCCTTTCTACGCTCCAGATACAAAGGAGCTTCCTTTCTATCTCTGCAAAAACAACCACCCCAAGCTCTATGTTACATCTGTTACACTTGCTGTTTCTTCCAAGTGGAAATCAGCTCTGGACGTCCCTTCTTGTCATTTGGGACTGGGAAAGGCCTCCTGCTCTAGGAAGTATTTCCTGACCACTCGAACCAGACTACCCATTCCGCTGTCTCATCCCACCCTCTTTCATTGCTTCACAGAACATATGCCCACTTGAGATTCTTGTTCATTTATGTGTGGATTCATTTATTGGGATGTATCCATGACTTAACCATGTGAAATAGACTCACATCGAGAAGAGAGTGGAGAGCTGGAACTCTTTGTCCCATGTTGGCTCATCTCTCCAGGTGATTTCCACCAAGTCATCCTTAAGATATGGCTGCAACCCAAATCTCCCAACCCAGCCAGTCAGCCAGAACCCAACAATCAACCCCCAACTCATTCGTCAATACCACATAATGCAACAAGCTCATAAAAATAAGTTTTGCTTTAAATGTTTTCATATAATTATTCAGAAAAGTGCATAAAAGCGTTACCACCTCTCTAATGATTGAACAATTCCAGAAATCAAGTCAGATGTTAACTTTTTGGTTGCCTTTAATAATAGTTGCAAACAAATACTGGCAGAGAACATTTTTTCAATAAATTAAAGACTCAGAAATATTCTATATTATTATCTGAACCTCTACTGACCTAATTGGTCAAAAGAGCTTTGTGTGGCAAAAGCAAGGGGTGGGAAAAAAGGAAGTAGGAAGAAGAAACGGAGAGAAGTCGGAGAGTACTCAAATCCCAGGATTCTTCAGAAGCTAGGCAGCATCCAGAGCTGGCCCACGGGATGGGATCTGAGGTAGATCAGCTCTGGTGACCTCAGCAGGACCTAGTTCACAGGGTCACTAGAGTGTCCAGTGGATGAAGCCTCAGCTGGTGACACAGGAGTTAGCAGTGTCTGACGATTCCAGGTTCTGGGAGAAAGAACAAACATTGGAGAACTGGGTAAACACCATGGACCCACCACTTCCGGAAGCAACACAGGAGGGACCCTCATGCAAGACTGCATGCGTGCTCAGTCGCTTTGGGCATGTCCAACTCTTTGCAACCCTATGGATTCTAGCCCACCAGGTTCCTCTGTGCATGGGATTGCTATGCCCCCCTCCAAGCATCTTCCCTACCTAGGAATCGGCCCCATGTCCCCCGGGTCTCCCATGTTGGTAAGTGGGTTCTGTGCCACTAGCCACCTGGGAAGCCCCTATGCAAGACTGCTGCTGCTGCTGCTTCAGTCGTGTCCGACTCTGTGCGACCCCATAGATGGCAGCCCACCAGGTTCTCCTGTCCCTGGGATTCTCCAGGCAAGAATACTGGAGTGGGTTGCTATCTCCTTCTCCAATGCATGAAAATGAAACGTGAAAGTGAAGTCGCTCAGTCGTTTCCGACTCTTAGCAACCCCATGTACTGCAACCTACCAGGCTCCTCCATCCATGGGATTTTCCAGGCAAGAGTACTGGGGTGGGGTGCCATTGCCTTCTCCCCATGCAAGACTAATGCCCCGCAAATACCCAACCCTCTGAAATGTCTATGTGACCACTCTTGAGGATCCTCCACACCCAAGAGCAGTGGGGTACAAAGGCTGGGTTATGGGGCAGGGCCACAGTCATACCTGGAGGCCTTAGCAGGAGGCTAGAGTCCAGGGCTCGTTGGGGCAGGGTTGTCCATCCGTCCCTTTGCAGACAGGCGTTGAGCCTTGAGGTCCCGAGCCTTGGGGTCTAGAGCGAGGCCCCTCTTAGCTCTGATGGGGGCAGTCAGCTCGCGAGTGCCCTTTTCCCGAGGACGACGACGAGAACCACATCTGCCGACTGGGTGGAGACACTGCGCCACCGACTGACATGGCGAGAGCGGACAGGTCTGGCTGGGCTTCCGTGAGCTCCTGCGGGTGACAGCGTCCAACTGGGAGGCGGGGCAGGAACCCCGGGCAGGCAAGGGGCGCAGGGACATGGCCCACACAGGGGCTCTGGGGTCGGTGCCCTCTCTTGAAGACACGGGCTGACGTCGGCGGGCGGTGCGGCGAGGCGGGTAGTACTTGGGTCCCAGCGTTTGCACCTCCCTCCAGGCGCTCAGCTCCCGGCCGCCCGGCGCCGCGGGCTCGGCGTGGTTCACCACCGCCCGGTCCTGCCCGCGCTTCCACAGCTCATAGCGCTCGGGCTGCAGGATGCGCACGAAGGCGTCCATGGAGAAGGCCACCTGCGCCTCGCCGCAGCTGCACTGCGAGGCCACTTTGCCATAATCGACCCAGCGCGGGGTGGCGAAATTGATGGCCTCGGCGCAGTTGAAGCCGTGGTTGAAGCCAGAGTGGTAGCCGTAGGGGAAGGTGACCATGAACTCGCCCGCCTCCTGCGTGACCCGACCGAAGGGGATGCCGTTGTTCCGGAGCACCGTGGGCGAGATGAGCGCCGCCTTGTGCCGCAGGAAGGCCTCGCAGTCCCGCGAGCTGCCCGGGAAGAGCTCGCGGGCCAGGCGTTCCAGGCGCCAGCCGTGCTCGGGCGGCACCGCGTACCAGGTCTTGGGCTCCCCGAAGTGCAGGAAGTTGATGCTGTAAAGGTCCATGTCCTCCGTGTGCCAGGCGAAGGCGGTCTTCCACATGCCGAAGTACAGGTAGGGAGTGTTGACGCCCTCGATGACCACCCCGCACTCCTGCTCCAGCAGGTCCTGGATGGTTCCCAGGTGCCCCAGGTTCCACTGCTTCGTGTTTTCATCAAACAAAGAGCCACTGATGTCCGCGCCGTATATCGGGGACTCGTACACGCGGGTTTTCCAGTATTTTCGCTCCAATTCCTCAAAATCGGAGTAGAATGGAGTCTGGTATTTTTCAGTATTTGCTAAGCGGCGGTACTCTGCCACTGTCATAGCTTTCTTCTTTTTGTGGTATTGAGTAAACACACCTGCCCTCCCAGAGACCACCTGCTGCAGCGGAGCGGCTATTAAGATGTCATCGATATCGTCGTAGGTCTGTCTGGCTTTCCATTCCTTGGGTGGAACTATCTTAGCCAAGCCTGCTCGGTGGGCCCCTTGCGATTCTATGTAAGTGATGTATTTATCAAAATCAGTAAACTCTTCTTTGGTTGGATGAAATATCATTATGCTACAACTTGGGTTCCGAGCAAAACTGGACTTCATAGCTTCCATTAATAAGAAACAAACTGCCAAGTTTTTCTGTATATTCTGGATAGGTGAGGATGCTGGAAAATGTTACTTTTTCAAAAACAGTTTGAGGATCTGTGAGTCAGAAGGAATGACCAGTGGACTTTAATACAATGAGCTAATGGTACTGCTTAGGCCTGCTGCTTCTCCAGCGGAATCCAGTCTGGGCAGAAGCTTTGCTCAGAACTGCTGGTGGCTGAGCCTGCAAGTCTATGATGTTCCTCAGTTGACCTTTGGCTCTGTCCACTTGAGGTATATTGAATTACCCAGTCCTGGACAGATATCTCAAATGTAGTGTCTTCAGGGTGGTATTGAAAACAAAACCTAAAAAGTATATATACAGAAAGGTTGAAAACTAATGTTTGAAAATGTTAATAAAGAACTACAAATAAAACTGTATCATGGAATATAATTGCATCTTCAAATAAAGGCTAAAATTTCACAAGACTGACAATACAAGAAATGGTATTAATGTGGAACAATGGAAATTCTTATATTCTAGTAAGGAGAATGAAAATCATTACACTCACTTTGAAAAATAATTTGGACAGTACTATATGTCCTGAGTTTACCCTTTTGCTATGATTCAACTGTTACCACATGCCTAGCTATGTGTATGCCCATGCACTGAAGGTCAAGTCCAAGAATGTTCAAAACAACATTATTTCTAGTAACTAAACATTGGAAACAACCCAAATGTCAATCAACAGTAGAATGGATAAACACATCATAGTATATTCATAGTGTAATACAATACAGCAATGAAGAAAAAATAAGAATTACATGAAAATATAGGCGTAATTCTATAAACATAAAACTAATTATCTAGGCTCAAAATAATATCTATTTTATGCTTCCATTTATACAAAGATAAAAATGAGGCAAAGTAATCTATGTTAGAAGTCATAATAGTGGTTACCTTTGTGAAGAAGAGAGGTTATGAGTGGAATTATGAGGAAGTCTCTAGAGTAATATACATATTCTGTTTGAAACATAGGTAAACACAGCTATCAGAATGGTTGTCATAATTCATCAAGCTATAATGATTTTCACAGATCTCTGTGAACTAAATTTTTAAAAATTTACTTAAATTAGTTTAATAAATATATTTAAAAATAGAGCTTAGGGTGAAAAGCATTAAAGGAGTCAGAGATATAACAAAAAGGAAAAGGAAGAGGGATTGAAAATAAATGAACTAAACATTCAATTGAAGAAGCTAAAAAAGAGAAGAGAAAATGCTAAAAAAGTATATTTAAAAATTAAAAAAAGAGAAAGAAGAATTAAAAAATAACAAAGAATAAAGATGAAATTAGTGAGAGATAACACATACAAAACAGAAAGTTGATGACCAAAAATATTCTTTGAAGAAATTAATAAGAGCAACAAATTATGGGAATAACTGGGCATGAGAAAAGGAAGAAAGGGACTTCCCTGGTGGTAAAACGGATAAGAATCCACCTGTAAATGCAGGGGACTCGGGTTCAGTCCCTGGTCTGGGAAGACTGAACATGCCTCAGAGGACTAAGCCCATGAGCCACAACTAGTGAGCCTGCCTGCTTCAACCACCGAAGCAGGTGCCTGGAGCTGGTGCTCCACGGCAGGAGGAGAAGCCACTGCAAAGAGAAGCCGGCGCACCGCAACTTGAGAAAGCCCATACACAACAGTGAAGGCCCAGAGCTACCAAAAAGAAAATAAATAAGTTTTTAAAAAGGAAGAAGAAAAAAATAATTTACTAGGAATGAAATAGGGCACAAAGCTAGTAACAGCAGAGAATTTTTTAAATCTCAAAAGAGAATATTAGGAGCAACATGACAGCAAAAGTTTCCAAAGATAAGAGAGAAAAATAATTTTCTAGGGAGGAAACATACAAAATGGATCCAAGAAAAACAAGAAAGCTTCAATATCCCAGTATAAAGATCTGATTCAAAGTATGTCCCTTGAAAGTCCAGGTCATTTCATATGTGAATCTAGTCATTTTATTTGTGGATCTAGAAGATTTTCAAGAAACAGCTAACTCTTATTATTCAAGTTGTTTCAGAGTATAGAAAAAGGTGGAAAGCTACTCAGATGAGGCTATTCTTATCTCTGATAGCAAAATTAAATAAAGGACAATAGAAAATATAGCTATGGGCTATCTTTGTTTATAAGCATAGATAAAAGCATAAAATGGAATATTATCCAATGAAATACTGTAGCAATACAGTAAAATAATAATACATCATGACTAAATAGAATACAAGAATGATTCAGCATTAGAAAATCTAATGGTATAATTCAGAATATTAACAAAGGGAAACATATCATCATATTGTAGGTATCCAAAAAAAAGCATTTGATAAAATGCAACATCCATTCATGATTTAAAAATTCTTACTTGTAAAGCATCAAGGGAAACTTCTTTTGCAAGATAAAGAATTTTAATGTAAAAAAATAGCAAGTATCATTCTTAACAGTGAAACAAAAGTAATAGTATCGTTAAATTTAGAAGAAAAAAAAAGATGTATCAGCAAACTATTTCATTAACTCAATTTCAAGTGCTCTCTCTGTTTCCTAATCCTCTTTGTTCAGTCCAGTTCACTCGCTTAGTCGTGTCCAACTCTTTGTGACCCCATGGACTGCAGCACACCAGGCCTCCCTGTCCATCACCAACTCCTGGAGTTTACCCAGACTCATCTCCATTGAGTTGGTGATGCCATCCAACCATCTCATCCTCTGTCGTCCCCTTCTCCTCCTGCCCTCAGTCTCTCTCAGAATCAGGGTCTTTTCAAATGAGTTCTTCACATAAGGTGGCCAAAGTCTTGGACTTTCAGCTTCAACATCAGTCCTTCCAATGAACGCCCAGGACTGATCTCCTTTAGGATGGACTGGTTGGATCTCCTTGCAGTCCAAGGAACTCTCAAGAGTCTTCTCCAACACCAAAGTTCAAAAGCATCAATTCTTCGGTGCTCAGCTTTCTTTATAGTCCAACTCACATCTATACATGACTACTGGAAAAACCATAGCTTTGACTAGATGGACCTTTTTTGGCAAGGTAATGTCTCTGCTTTTTAATATGCCTAATCCTCTTATACTCCCCTAATTTCCACCCTCTAAATATTCTATGTCACCTTCCCTATCCTCAAACTTCAGGCATACCTACTCCACCCCACTTAGAATCCTTGGAATGTCCAAAAGTCCCTACGTGATCTGGCCCACCATCACCTCCTGACCTTACCCCTTTCTATCCGACTCTTTGCTCTCTCTGTTCCAAACACATTCCTGGCTGTGTCTCAAAACAATGCCAGTATACTCCTGGCTTCTCCCCTGGAGAAGGAAATGGCAACCCACTCCAGTATTGTTGCCTGGGAAATCCCACGGACACAGGCACAGGAGCTTGGCTGTGGAAAGAGTCAGACACAAATTAGCAACTAAAACAACGACATTAAATGTCAAACTGTCTCCTTCTTCCCACTTCTCTTCCAAAATCTCCTTACTTCTCAGTCCCTAAATCCCACTGCTTCCTAAGTGGATGAACTTGACTCCTCATCTTCCTTTACTGCTCCCAAAAAAGCACAATCTCTTCTTTGATTTTCTATAGTTCTCTTTCAGCATTTATCATTTCTACAACAGCAAGCATCACCTTTATCTGCACTTCATTTTGTCATGGTTTTTTTAAAGCATGGTCTGTAAAGTATCTCATTCAAACCTCACAACTAGTCTATAAAACTGGTATTATCATTATCCCCAGTTTATGGAGGAAAAAACCAAGATGTAGAAAAATTTATATTTAACTTAATTGTATTCTCAGTCTCTACAGTTATTTCTATACTTGTCTTATCTTCCATAGGAAAATATTTTGAGAGCATTGTCTATGTCTTGATCATCATCATATTTTCCAAAGGATCTTGGTACTTTACATAGGGCACACTCCAAAAATTTTTATTAAAAAAATAAGTAAAATCATCAGCACACACTGCAACCTTTCTCCTCTTACCTTTCTCCATTTAGAAATGGAATTACCACATTGCAAAGTTTAAACATTTTAAGATCCTTAACTCATATTGCCAAAATTTTCCAGAAAGATATCACTTTACATCCTTACTATTAACTTTGCTCTGAAAAAAATCTTTTAATTTGTAAGTGAAAAAGAGTAGCCCAAGTTTTAAATTATACGTCTTGGATTACTACTAAGATTGATTTTTTTTTCTTCAATGAATGCTAGCCCCATTTGGATTTTATCACACACACTGGTTCGTATGCTTTGCCCATTTTTCTCTAATATGCTTCTAGTGTTTCGCCTCATCTACTTATGTGAACATTTTACATATTATGTGAATATTTCACATATTTTACATAGTATATGAATATTTTACAAACTGCTCATATGAATATTTTACATATGAAACCTCTTGTTGAATTTAGTTATAGTTTTTTCCCAGTTTTCCATTTCTTAAATTTATATTTAGTTTAAAATGATTTTTGACATTCATTTCAGTCTTATTAAAAAGTTGAGTTTTTCCTATGTAATGCCTTTCATGGCTTTTAAGTTTAGAAAGTTATTTCCCCATCCTGAGGCAGATAAATATTGCCCTATGAGTTTTTTCCTTTTTGTATGTTAGTTCACTTCAGTTCAGTCACTCAGTCGTGTCCAACTCTTTGCAACCCCATGGACTGCAGCACACCAGGCCTCCCTGTCCAACAACAACTGGAACTTGCTCAAACTCATGTCCATTGAGTCGGTGATGCCATCCAACCATCTCATCCTCTGTCGTACCCTTCTCCTCCCACCTTCAATCTTTCCCAGCATCAGGGTCTTTTCCAGTGAGTCAGTTCTTCACATCAGGTAGCCAAAGTATTGGAGTTTGTGCTTCAGTATCAGTCCTTCCCATGAATTTTCAGGACTGATTTCCTTTTAGGATGGACTGGTTGGATCTCCTTGCAGTCCAAGGAACTCTCAAGTCTTCTCCAATACCACAGTTCAAAAGCATCAATTCTTCAGCGCTCAGCTTTCTCTATAGTCCAACTCTCACATCCATACATGACTAATGGAAAAACCATAGCTTTGACTAGACAGACCTTTGTCAGCAAAGTAATGTCTCTGCTTTTTAATATGCTATCTAGGTTGGTCATAACTTTTCTTCCAAGGAGTAAGCGTCTTTTAATTTCAAGGCTGCAGTCACCATCTGCAGTGATTTTGGACCCCCCAAAAATAAAGTCTGTCACTGTTTCCACTGTTTCCCCATCTATTTGCCATGA